ACATTATTTTAATTAACACTAACTTGACTGCACTGTATGTTAGCCATGATAAGTCTTGACGTCACGTTGCTGACATTTCCTCGGCTTCAATTTTGTGACGTCATGCTTACTCCAAAATCTGCTCTAACCTCCATGCTCCATACTATCTCAACACAGACTATCTCCAAACATACGTATCTCAACACAGATAATCTTTTGCGTGCTGTGAAAGAAAGTTTTATGAACTTTTTGGTGCATTGTTGGTATTGTTTTTTAATATTTATATTAAGTTTATATAGCCTTTGGCTTTGTTTCGATCCTTTATTTATTATCTGTGTTCCTGTTATATAAAAATTAAAAAAGTGATTTTCTTCAAACCCATGATTAAGTGAATTAATTCCTTTATCTTTGCTTGCGCCTTTTTCTGTCTTTAATTTTAATTTAATTTCAATTAATTTGTCTTTCATTTTAATTAAAAATTTGTCTTTTATTAATTCTTTTATCTTTGTTTGCTCCTTTATTGTCTTTAATTTAATTTCTTGTAGTTTTTATTATGTAATGCATTATTATGAGCCAGTTAATGAAACATTTGCTCTGATTCGCTAATTGTGAATGTCCACTAATAAGTGTTCCACGGTTTTCTCTTAAAATTCTAAATGTAAAAGGGACAATAATCGATACATTTAATTTAATACTCGTAATCATGCATATAATTGTCAGCTCTGATATTCTACTAAAAGCATCTCAAAGCCCATATACGCTCGAAGAATTTGGAACCTAACACTTAGAAACATTAGCAAATGTAGTACACTAAACACAAGAATACAAGTTTATATATTTGGGATCGAAAAATTACGCTACATACTGCAAGAGCAAGGGAGTTTAAGTAGTAAATCTTGGAGCTGCAAGATTAAGAATGTGAAACTTTGCATGTGACTCGTGATCCACACGAATATCGCGTGCGTTGCTATACAATAATCACTTCTGTAAATTTTGAATCTACGCATACTTTGACTATGACTTTTGAGCTATGGCATTTTAATGCTTTAGCATTTTAATGCATTTTAATTTTTGTTTTTGTCAACCATGGATGATTTTCCTTCCTTAATCTTGTAAATCCAAAAATGCGTCTGGTAAACCTGCTCAATAGAATATTTTTGAAAGCTTTAGGTATTATCATAAAAATAACACAATATGGTTTTCTATTTTTTAATGATCTATATTTTTCAGTTATTTTTCATCTCGGAAAGCTTTTCTTCTTTCGATATTAATCACTTCTACGAGGTGCTTATTGCGTTCAAGAAGCAGATTTCACTTCTGGCAAAATGTGAAGTATTGCCATTTGAGAGAAATATTTGCCGTATATGCGCTTGTGATTCAGTGATAGAAATGCATAGCTGCATTTTAAATAATTATTTTTTTCTTTATTAAAAAAGCTTCTAAATCTCAACATGGAGATAATTTACAATGTAAACATTAGAGTTTCCTTTTCTACCATTTGGCACTGCTTCTTTAAATGCTTATTATAAATATATGATTTTATATTCATCATCTTGAACTCTTAGAGAATTAATTCTTACACTAAGAAGCTAATGGCAACAGCTTAGATTAAAATTGCATTATACTTTAAATTGAAATCAGGTTGACTTTGTTGACCAGATCAGATTGACTTTGTTTTTAATTTTACGATTTTTTAAATATATTTTTTAATTTCCAAAATATTCAATATAAACTCTTTGAAATTGTTAGACTTCTATCTAAAATGCACAGTTCATTACAATTTTATTTACTTATTCAAATGTTTCTATTAATTCTAAATTTAGGCTTTTGTTCGATATTTTTGTCTACATTTGTGTCTTACATTCTCGGATTTTCTTATACTTGTTTAAAGGTTTGCAAAAGCGCACAAAAGCTATCTGCCTAAAAGTTCGGATACCTTCGTGGAGGAGTGCATAAGGAAAAATGTGGCTCGCATTCAAGTTGTTCATAAAGAAAAGTACGAAAATGCCCATGAACCGAGCTGAATCGCTTTAATTCGAAACTGTTTCGGCTCATCTATGTTCAGCGTTTTTTATCTCTTCGCCATTGATGGGCATGATATTTCTCTTCTAATGTTGTACCTTTTCATACATACTACTTTTGATAATCAAAGGAATATCTTGTTACCTAAATTTAAAACGTCCGCTCAAAATACTTTTTGAGACATTTTCTGTCTTAATAAGTTAAATAATTTTCAAAGCTGATATTCCTGGGAAAGAAACAGAAAATTTTAACCTATCGCTTGTTCATTAATCATTTGTTTCTTGCTCATTAAGCAGAAATTTAAGTATGTATGAAAGGAACTATTTTCCACTGGCAGTTTTAAAAGTTGCAGTTTCTTGATTAGATCTAAGGAAGTAAAACTCAAGGCAGAAGCGCTTTAAGCCGGAAATGTCTCAGACAAGACCGGCGGCCACGTTCTTACTCGATTCACCAAAAATAACTCTCAGAAAATAACGAAATGTTTTCATTACAGTCATTTTTTACCACAGGGGTTGTCCGGTGACTTTCATTATTCCAGGAGAGGATTCCGGTCAGACTTTTATTTATCTCTTCAGTATTTAGTTTCAGTTTATCAACGTAAAAAACTAATTTTATTAAAGTTTCGGCATTTATCAGCATTTCCTATCCTTTTTCTTGTTTAATTTACAGAGAACAGCTAAATAAAAAGTAAAAATAACAAAAGTTTTAATAAATGCATTTGTATTTTTCGAATTTTGTAAAGGAGGTGATGATCGTCTAGCAATAACGAAAGGTTGAGACAGAATGCTTGGAATATATTTGGATAAGATCATGAGAAAATTTCCTAGGGTTTTCAAACTGAAATACTTACTGCACTTCACACATCTCCTGCCATTTACTGTGCAGTTAAGTCATCTTTCAAATGAAGGGTAAAGTTTATCGCTGCAGCTTTGCACATGTTGTTATGATAATCAATCATACACGAGTAAAATTTGCTGGATAAGTATATCTTTGTTTCAAGTTTGCTGACCCAATTATACAAAAATTGTACTAATTGTTTGAATATTTTTAAATAAACATTTGTAAGAAAATTAGTTTAAAGTAAAATAACATTTGTTAGCAGTAACGATTTTCAAACCGAAGCAGAAAGAAAAATTAAATTTCAAGATTTAAGCGCTTAGTAAGTGGGCCACCGTTTCCTACTATAAAGGGACGGACAATTACAGCCATGCCTTCTTCGAAATTCGAACGCGGATCCTTCGATACCGCAGTAGTTTTCCTAACCATTATACCGTCTAAACGTTATATCAAAGTTCTAATGGTAAAGATAAAATTGATAGAAATACGGACATTTCAATCATTTATACATTTCCTTTTTAATTTATTCAAATGAAAACTTATTTTTAAATAAGACTTTATACTCGAAAACGAAATACAGAAAAAAACTCTTAAGTTTTCTACACCTGAAGTGCTTATAAGATTTTATTTGCTTTATTTGAAAGCAAAAATTTTATTTTATCAATGGCAAGCGAGATATTGGCATGATTTTCAGCCGGTCTGTGTTTCAGAAAAGTTTGATTCCTTAGCATTCTGAATTTTTACAATGCATGATCGGTTTACATATCTCAACGTATGCACTATACAGCTAATTTTTATACAGTCAAAAGTCGTTAATTCGGACACCCATAATCCGGAATGATCTATAATCCGGACCTCAAAGCTACAAACTTTCTGCGCATGCTTCGCGTTCACGCATGCGCACAGGCGTTTACGAGAGCGCGTAAGACCCTTACGGCTGCGAATATGTTTGTGCGCATGCGCGTTTAATGTTTAACGGAGTTATACGCTAAGCTAAAGTTATCTAATTCAGTTAATGTTGCAGATTGCGTTGTTCCTTAATCTTCGAATTGGATCCGGCTTATTATTTTTTGCAGACTGTTAGAGCAATTTTATAAAAAGTAAGCTTGAACTTTCGATTATGTCAAATAGAATTTCCGATATATATTTACTACAAAGCGAAAGTATGTTTTGAAATCCGAAATCTGTTTATCAATTTCACGCTGCTCTGCGGCAGAGGTGGGGGCAGAAACGTCATTATTAGATTATGATAGATTAGAAAGATTATGTCAAATAGAATTTCCAATATATATTTACTAATATGTTATTTGTATCTACAAAGCGAAAGTATGTTTTGAAATCCGAAATCTGTTTATGAATTTCACGCCGCGGATTGGAAGTTGATCTGTCAACACTATCCTTATCTTCAGAGCAGATGTTTTTATTTTATTTGGATTATAATTCCGTACTAAGTTTAGTATTTCGTCTCGATGTACTCCGTCTTTGATATGATTTAAATCAAGTTGCTCGTCATTATAATTCGCTTCCGATAGTGAAGAAAGTGACACAGAGGTTATTGAAAACGAAAACATTTCGATTGACAAATTAGTCGGTATTCTCAACACAGCAATTATAGGACTTGAACAGCGGAACTTTGTAACTAAACAAGAAATTATGTCTGTTTAATAGAATTAAAGAGAAAGTATTATCACATGAAACGAAGCAACTTACATTGAAGGAAATGTTTAATAAAGTAAACAAATAAATATTAAGCATTTTCTTTTTGTAAATTTTGATACCCTTTAGATCATAATTGTTCTTTATTTCATAAATTACGGTTTCATATTTTTAATTTTGTAATTTTTGCATGCCATCTTACCAGATTTAAACTGATGATCTATAATCCGGAAAAATCGATAATCCGGAATCGCCGAAGTCCCGACGAGTCCGGATTAACGACTTTTGACTGTATGTCATACAGCTGCTTGCGTAGTCTTTTTGACCGAGTCGCATGTTTCAGAGTAAGAATGTAAGTCTGCGAAAACTTTCTAGTTACGTTGGAATGTGATTGTAAATCAGATTTGTTTGTTTTTAAATTTATTTTGCTATGCGTATATAGAAAACAGAATATTGCAGATACGTTTACATGGATTTTTATGCCATGATTCCTTTTGTTTTTCTAGCAAAGACGAAAGTAGACGGCCGTGGTACAGAGAAAACGACACGTCAGCAACAAATCTGAAGGCACGAAAGGCTTACGAAGCTCTTCTAACTGTAACCGACAGAATACCAGAGACTGCAGAATACGCCGAATTTTCTAGGGGAATAAAAAGTTTATCAATGAAGTATTTTGGAAAGGCTTATGGAAAAGAAGAGGTGGGTTATATCATACATTTTTAAATGTCACGTAACTATCATGAAATTGTTCATATGTGTATGCATAATATAACTTTGAAATCTTTGCCAGTTGTACTTACATTTATTTTAATGCAAGATGAAAACATTGTAAACAATCATTTATTAATTAGTTTTTCTTTCATATTCATAGTAATTGGTTGATGTTCGCTCATGAAGTGGAAATTATTTTCATTTGGATTATATCGCTATTCAGAAAAAAAAATGTTTCCTTCGTTCGAAGAAGATTTTCATTTTGGGTATTAAATTTCATAATACTAATTGTTTATTTAATTTACTAAGATCTTTACTTTCTTTAGAGATAGGGCTAATAAATTGTAAGGCAAATGGAAACTGTTGATTAACACACTGAATTTTTCCAAAACTTTGGTTCTTATATATACGATATTAGATTTTTACCTAAATCAACATTAAAGACGGTAAGTACAGCACTTGAAAACATAATCAACTTTTTAAGCACAGAGGAAAAGAAAATATTAAAAGATATAAAAAATGTAATCTTTCCAAATTAATAACATTTGCATATAGATGAATTTATTAACTGAATTTGGAGCATTCGAAACAAACGTTACGAAATTAACCACTTTTAAAATATGTAAAAATAAACTTAAGTTGTAGAGACACTAGGTATTTTGGAAGCAAGAAAGATGAAAAATATGCAACAACTTCGCCGGGAATTGAACCTCGAATCTCTGAAATCTAATTTCACATTGCTGTTGTTGACGAATTATAATTTCATGCGGAACTTAGCTTTGTATCTTGAACAGAGTAAAGAAACACAATAGAAAATAAAAGCAACTAATGTACTAGAATCTGCTCCTACTTAGAACTAATAAAAATTGAATGACAACTTTATTCAGCTTTTTTTTACCGGCTAAGAGTTGTCAGATATTAACAAAATGTATTTTCTCAACACTTTTCAAAGTTTAAAGTGCTAATTTTAATTTCAGTAGCAGATTCTGAGTGATCGATATCTAAGATATCAAATGATTTTTTTTTCTTTGACTGACTGACTTCAACTAAATAGCTATAGCAGAAATTTCGTGTTAAAACTGCTGTAAGTCAATTAGCTTGTAGAGACATTAGGTTAATTTTTGGAAGCCAGAGAGATGAAAAATTAGCAACCGCCTTCGCCGGGAATCGAAACACGGACCTCTGAAAAGGAATAGTACCAAGCGTGCAGACCACCACGAGACCAATGCAAAGAAAGCGTCAGAAATAAGCGTAGAAAAAACCTTTTAAAGGGCGACTGGGGTTTTTAGGGAAAAAAAATTTAAAAAAGTCAGAAAAAAAAAAAAAAAACCCGTTTTGTAAAAAGTGAAAAAAAAAAAAATCAAAAAAAAAAAAAAAAAAAAAAAAACACAAAAAAGATGAAAAAAAAAAAAGAAAAAAAAAAAAAAAAAAAAAAAATAAAAAAAAAAATAAATGATGCCCAGCGTAAAGAGCAAACCAAAAAACGAAAAACAAATACGGAAAAAAAAAAAAATCAGGGAAATTACCTTGTAAATTAAATATGCTTCAAATTTAAATCTTCTATTTTAAAATTTAGAGCAAGTCAATTGGAAAAAAAAAAAAAAAAAAAACGAACGAAAAAAAATCAAAACAAGAAAAAATTTGTAAAACGACCAGAGAGGATAGCTAAAAAAAAACGGATTGAATTTAAAATGGGGCTAAGAAATAAAAGAAAACGAACAAACACATATGGCGAATTAGATCAGAGAGACACAATAATGGAATACAAGAGCATCCAAAAACTGCATTTTTGAACTCTATTTGAATGCACCAATTGGATATAAATTAAGAAGCTGGCATAGCAAGTAATGCACAGTAGTTTTAACGAGGATAAAATCTGCTTGCTAGCACAGAAAATGCATTGAGTTGGTAGCGAGAAGTGTTGACGCATGAAATAAGACATCAGTTTGAGGATTACTAACTGTGTGGACAATAAAGAACTGACGTTTGCGGTTACAGCGGTGCACCGAAGCACGCATATGATCGCATTAATGGCGTGACATATTCTCAGACGAATTTTGCTTGTGCATTGCAACTTCCTGATGAACAAGTGAACGTTTGATGTCACCATGGGAAGTACTTGTTACGATCTTGCATTTTGCATCGTATTACCGGAAATTGTGGTATGGGTAAGATTGGCGCTCACGTTTAGTATACTCTAGAATTCTTAACTAGTCAGTGTTATATTACATACACTTTAAGGGCTGTGATTGTTCTATAACTTCAGAAGTATTTTAGGAGCCATCTTCGAGTAAGACAATGCGAAATAACACTCAACGTCCAACGTTTCCCCGACGGGACAGCAAGTTTGTGGTTCTGTATTAGCCAGTCCATTTACTATATCTTTCTCGGATAGAATGTATTTGGGCTTATGGTGTTACACGAGTTGGCACAAAGAAGACCAGTAGTTAGCGGCTCTATATTTACTTGACAACGAACTCTAACTTCTGGAATTGCTGTGTTTTAAAATACCGTCCAAATTATCTTCGATTCTATGCCTCACTATACAGTTGCAGTTAATGTTATTTATGGTGGTCACAATACTGGTTATAGCAAATTCTGTTAGTCCAATAGTCCAATGTTTCCGAAATGTTTGTAAATTTATCTCTTATTGTAAACAATCCGTTAAACGCACTTATTTGTGTTATCTTTTGTCTTTGTTGGTGTTTAAAAAATGTGTTTAAAAAAATACGTCCTAAAAAATGGAAAGAAGTAATAACTTTACTAATGCAAATTGCTTCAAATATTTAATCACTTGCTTTTTCAATTATGTTGGTTAAATTTGACCTAAATTAGAACACGGATAGATATAAAAAGGAAGCGATGCAGCTAAAATAAGAACTAATAAGAAGAAACGAAATACAAATGCTTCCAACGTATTTCATTAAATTTTGTGATTTCTCCGTTCTGTTCTAAAAATAACAAGGTGCTTATAACTTACGTTTTTGATGAGTGTCATTCTCGACAGAATGTCTGTCTTACGCTGCTTATAGTAGCCCATGATATACTGTTGACATAGGAATTTAACGCGGGTGACTAGCACATTAGCTACATACGTACTTTATGTAGTTCTGTATAATACTCTTGACACACGAACTGACGTAAACAGTGAAAACTTCTGTACTCAGTAATGTTTCTTTTCTTAATTTTTAAATCCATCAGATTACGACCATTGAAGTTCCCTCTGTTAACTAAATACAGTATAATCAAGTGACTTGAACGTTTTCATTTATTTCTTCCAGCTTTGATCTCTCTACTAAGCCGCAATTTATTTCGTTCTACTTACGTATGTCGCCTTATCTTTTCTTGACCTTCTGCAAAATGGCGAAATTGAAGATGTCAATGACTCTGTCATGACTATGTCAGTCTATGTCAATGACTACTCAGTGAATCGAACTAACTATTTTAGCTTGATATTTCCATGATTTAGTATACATATACATAGATATGAGGCTTTAATAATCAATTAAGAATTTTTGTCGTAATAGCTTATCTCTCTACTAATCCGCAATTTATTTCGTTCTACTTACGTATGTCGCCTTATCTTTTCTTGACATTCTTCAAAATGGCAAAACTGAAGATGAAACCTATGTCAATGGACTACTCAGCGAATCGAACCAACTATTTTAGCTTGAGACTTACACGATTTAATATACACTCATGTCCATAAATTAAGGATAATTCGGAGTCATGCGGAAACCGAACTCTAAAATAAATATATCACCTGTAAAATCACTACACACATAGCTACATACAGCTACATCAAGAATCATATGCAAATTTCAGGAAGTAACCAGATGACACCGATGGTACGTCACAATGACGAGAGCGTAAGAGAGTGATATATAAGGAACACAGGCAAAGAAGTAAAATTGTTCGCAGGCGCTTTATAAGCATTTCAGGGCAATAACCGAATAGTTATAGTTAGACACAAAGGATGAATTTGGATGATTTTTTTATGTGGTTATCGCCGTCTGGAATGTGGGCGTACCCAACTGGAAGTATCAGACGAACTTGGAATTGCCCAGAGTGTCATCTACAGGCTTTGGCAACGATTCCAAGATGATCGTAATGTGAGTAGACGTTACAGCGTAGGTCGCCCCAGAGTTACAACGCCGAATGAGGACCGGTATTTGGCAGTTACTGCCAAAAGAAACAGGCGGAGCACAGCCTCAGACCTGTCTCGTCAGCTCTCTTCAGCCACTGGTACGACAATTTCAAGGCAGACTGTGTACAGACGCTAAGGGCAGATTGGTCTATATGCTAGTAGACTTGTCAGATGCGTTCCACTTACTGCAACTCACTGTCGCCTGCGGTTAGCCTGGAGTAGAGAGCATGCATTGTGGACACCGCAACAGTGGGCTTGTGTGATGTTTTCCGACGAGTCCAGGTTGAGCTTGCAGTCTGATTCTCGCCGGACTTTCATACGGAGAGCTCCAGGTACCCTTTACCACCAAGAAAACATCATTGAACATCACCGTTACGGTGATGCAGGAGTGCTCGTTTGAGGTGGAATTATTCTGGGGTCCAGAACTGACCTGCATGTTCAAATCGGAACCATGACAAGCCAAATCTATCGGGACGTCATTCTGGAACAACATGTACGTTTGTTTCGGGGTGCCATGGGCGCACAATTTGTGTTTATGGATGACAACGCCCGTCCTCACCGTGCAAATATCGTAAGCGAATGCCTTCAATCGGAGGATATCACCCGTATGGACTGTCCAGCATTCTCACCGGACTTGAATCCAGTAGAGCACGTGTGGGACATGCTTGGCCGACGAGTTGCAGCCTGTCAGCCTCCTTCTACATGTCTACCGGAACTTCGAAGAGCATTGCTTTTTGAGTGGTGTAATATCCCCCAAGATCAGATCGATAATTTGATACTCAGCATGCCTAGGCGTTGTACGGACTGTATTGCATCGTCTGGGAGACATACAATGTATTAA